TGAGTCGGCGCGTTCTTGTTCTGTGGGCGGTGCCATACAGGGGATATTTGACCAGTCTCTCATGTCGCGGAACCATGTGAATTATAAGCTTTTAATGAGCTCTTTAGAAAAAAAAGTACTCGCTGCCACGTTTTGCACAACTAGCTCTTAAATGGCTGTCCAGGTCTATTTAAAGTTGGTTCTGGCAGTCAGGCACGGTCCATCCAGCGCTGCTTCGGTCATGTGAGCCGCTCAGATATCCCCTGTCCGCAGGTGGGCCTGCCGCCCCGCGCCGCGCGTTGCTCGTGTCGCGATGGAGCCGTTCCGGGCCACGCCGGAACTGCACGGCCGCGTGGCCGAGCAGCTGCTGCGGCGTTACTCGGCGCTGCTCGAGCTGCACGCACGTCGGCTGGAGGCGGCGTCGGCCGGCGCCAGGGTCGCCTTGTCCTCGGCGACGGCGCCGGCCGTGCGGCTGTGCGCCGAGCCGCACGAGCGCAGCGTGCTGCCGCGCCTCGCCGCCGGCGAGAACCGCCTGCTGACCAAGGTGCTGCTGGCGTTGGCGGCCGTCTGCGGCGAGGTGCGCGAGCTGGAGCGCGAGGCGCACGACGAGCTGGCGCCGGCGCTGCTCCTGTACGGCGAGGGCGAGCCGGCCGCCGGGCTGGACGAGGGCGAGGCCGAGCTGCAGCTTGCGCGCCTGTTGCCCACCCTGCAGCGGCTGTTGGCATTCGCCGAGCGCGGCCGCCAGGTGGCCGCCAACCTACTGCAGCAGCTGACGGCGCTGCACGACCCGGCGCGTCGCCAGCTGACCACGGCCGGGTACCACCTGCAAGTGCTGTTCGAGCACCTGGGCCAGCTGCTGGCCGCCCTCGCGCTGCTCGACGACCTGGTGGCGCGCCAGGCCGTGCTGCACGAGCATTACGCGCTCTACAAGCTGCTGGTGCGTCGCGCGCGGCCGCAGCCCGAGCCATTTGGCCTGGACGCACAGCGCGTGGCACTGCTGGAGAAGCTGCTGCGCGACCTGGACACGCGCGTCATGGCGGCCGGCATGCTGCACGCGACACTGCAGCAGCCGCTGACGGGCTCGGCTGAGGCGCGCGCCGTGCTTACCTGTCGGCCGTTCCACGATGAGTTCCTGCTGACTGTCAACAACCTGATGCTGCAACTGGAGCAGGAGGAGGCCGACCCGGATCCGGACATGCCCGGTTTGGTGGGTGTGGCCGCACTGCTGGCGCTACATGCGCGGCTGGCGCGCCACGCCGACGCGCGCGCCATCAAACGGCTGTGGACGCTGCAACGGCGCCGGCCGCCAGTGCTGCTCGGGGGCGGCCAGGTGTGGAACCTGGACGCCTTCCTCGGCACGCACCTGCCCGGCTTTGACCAGGTCGTGGATAGGCGCGCGCGCGACGCTGCCGCCGCCGCGCCGGCCGCGGCGCTGGCGCAGACGGCGCAGGCGCTGCCGCGCACCGTCCGCGAGCAGAGCCAGCAGGTGGCCGCCTGGAGTGTGGCCGTGGCGGCGCATCGCGGCGACGATCTGGCGCGCGTGACGGTGGCTAGCGTCGGTGAAGGCGCTGCGCTGCTGCGACGCGGCCTGGCGCTCGCCGAGCAGCTGGGCGACGGCGCGCGACAGCTGCTGGACCTGCACGCGACGACGGCGCGCCCGCTGTCGGCCACGACGGCCGTGCTCGTCTGCCGGCAGCTGGAGTTACTCAAGGCGTTGCAGGAGGCGGCGGAATCGAGCGACGCGTGGGTGCGGCTGACGGCGCGCTGCGCAGCGCAGCACGCGCAGTTCCGCGCCGTCCGGCTAATAGAGACTGTGCGCGTCCGCGTCGCCGCCGACAAGAAGCTGGCGGCGGAGCGGCTGGACCTGGTGTCGGCGCTGGAGACGGCCGCGCAGGCGGTGGCCGGCCCGCCGACGCGCCAGCGCCACCTGCTGGCGCGGCTGGCGCTCTCACTCTGTACGCAGCCGGGCGTGTTCCGCAACGGAGAGCTGGCGGAGGTGGCGGAGCTGCTGCGCCACCTGCAGCTGGCGGCGCGGCTGCCGGCGCGGCTGCGCGCCGCCGCCGACTGCCGCTTCGTGTACTGGTCGCGGTCGCTGCTGCCGGCGTACCTGCGCGACGTGGCCGCGCGACCGGACGACGCTCGCCGGCTGCGGCTCATGTGCGCCGCGCTGCGCGACCCGGTCGCGCTGCTGCGCCACTGCCGCCACCTGTCGGCCGGACGCCTGGTGCGCCTCTATGAGGACGAATTGGTGGCGGCGCTGCGCGCCAATATGCTGGAGCCGCTCTGCGCCGACGTCGAGACGGAGCTGCGCCTGGACGTGCACGCCCACCTGCAGCTGGACGATCGCAATCCGTTCAAGGTGGGACTGCGCGACCGACGCCGCCTGTTGGCCGAACCGCCGCTGCGGCTGCCCTCGCGCAGCGTGAGCGTGCGCCGACACTGCGAGCGCTACCTGGAGCGCACGTTTTACAACCTGACGGCGGTGGCGCAGCACGACTGGCGTACGTACGCCGAGATGCGCCACCTGGCGCGCCTCAAGTACGGCCTGGCCACGTGTGAGCCGCACCTGCCCGGCCAGACGCTGGAGCAGGGCCTGGACGTGCTGGAGGTGATGCGGAATATCCACGTGTTCGTAGCGCACTATGCGTACAATCTGACCAACCAGTTCTTTGTGGAGCGACAGAGCAACAACAAGCACCTGAACACGATCGGCATCACGCACGTGGCCAACTCGATCCGCACGCACGGCGCCGGCATCATCAATACCACCGTCAACTTCACCTACCAGTTCCTGCGCAAGAAGCTGAACGTGCTGTCGCAGTTCCTGTTCGACGAGCAGATCAGCTCGCGGCTGGCGTCGGACGGCCGCCGCTCGGTGCACTCCGGCGGCAGCCGCTACCCGTACGAGCGCGCCGAGCGGTTCGAGCGCGCCATCCGAGGACTGGGGGTCAGCGGCGACGGGCTCAGCTACCTGGACCGCTGTCGGCAGCTGGTGACGCAGCTGGGCGGCGCGCTCGGCTTCGTGCGCCTCGTGCGCTCGGGCGGTCTGCACTGCGCCAGCGCCGCCCTGCAGTTCGTGCCGGACCTGGGCCGCGGCGGCGAGTTCGCGGCGGCGGCGGAGCGGGCCGGCCTGTGCGCGGCGGTGCGCGACGCCGCCGAGACGCTGGACGCGTGCCTCGCCGACCTGACGGCCAGCGGCGACCAGAACACGGCCTACTTCCGTCTGCTGGAGGAGGCGTTGGCGCCGGCGCTGCGCGACCCGCGCAACGCCCACCTGCGCGCTTTCCACCTGCTCGTGCCGCCTCTCTGCCTCAACCACGTGCAGCATGTGCTGGCCGCCAAGGAGCGGCTGGCGAAGGGCGCGCGCTCAGGCGCTCTGTTCACCGAGGACGGCTTCGCCATGGGCGTCGCGTTCCTGCTCAAGCTGCTGGACCTGAACAGCGCGTTTGACGCGCTCTACTGGTTCGAGGAGGTGGCGGCGCACGGGGGAGCGCGAGCGGGGCGGCGGCGGAGCGGCAGGGGCAGCGGCGAGCCGGCCGACGACAAGCTCCAGCAGGCGATCGGATTGACCCTGAGCCGGCTGCGGCAGGCGCGCCGCCAGTACGACCTCGTCTTCTACAACCTGGCGGCGGCGCGGGTGTTCTTCCGCGCGGCGCCGGCGGCGGCCGGCGCCGCCGAGACGGGCGGGGACTGAGCGAGCGGTCTGGAGATGATGGGTGCGACTGGAAGGAGGCGGTGGTGGAGGCTGCTGGCCCGGGTCCGGGGGAAGGATGGGGGTGAGCGGAGACGATTGGTCGGGGGATGGAGAGGAAAGACCGGTGGAGTGAAGCGGTATTAGGAGAAAGGACTGGCGAGGATGGCTGTGCTGGAGGACTCACTCATTATGTAGGTGGACAATGACGAATACCAATAATCGTAGTTACGTTAAAGAGGCCGAAGAGTATTCAGATTATTTCACCGTATGGTTTGGCGGGTGCCATACAGCGACAGAACATATGCCATTTACGTTGCTTGCCAATAATCCTAGCTTGCAGAAATGTCACATTCGGCACGATGAGGGATGCATTGATGCTGGACGTGCTTCTGTGTCGAGGGCTGTGGGAACGGTATTGGCCTGCAAAACCTGCGTGAACTCAGTGATGAGGAAGCCGCAATATGTCGAATGACGAGTGCGCTTACTGTTACGTTGTTACGCGGGCGTCTGTTCGTTCAGCAGGGACTGAGCCACCGTGAATATCCGATCTCGTGGCTAGCGTTGTGCCACGCCCTCTCATGCGCCACTCCCTGTCGGTGTCACTTTGTTCCTTCTCCCGGGCGAGGACTTGCTGTTGTGTTTACACCCATCGGGAAGAAGTCGGACGCACGCCTGCACGGCGGAAGGATGGCGGGATGCCAGCTGCGATTGCTTTCCGTCGCTGGCGTGTTTGGCTCCTGTGGCCATGCTAGTAACGTGGGAGGACAGGGCTTGCATGTGTAGGTAGTCAAGCCATACATATGCCGTGATTGTGTGCCTTATGGCTGTCGGTCGGAAAAGTTCAGAGCTTACGTATGTATCATTATTCCGAGGTGGTGCCGAGGTGCTAATGCTCGGTGGATCCACATGTAAAAATATATGCATGACACGCACACGCACACCTGATGGTTACATAAGTTGAGTGCGGTTAACTGTATGAAGCAGGCTAAGAGCGTAATTCACTGGTCCATCATGGCTCAGTCATTCAGCCGCTCGTGCTGCATGGTCACCCAAGACAAGCAAGATCCTGTGCAGAGCTTGGAACTCTGAGCGCTCGGAAATCGAGGTGTTTGGTAAGGAGGGGAAGTCATTTCCAAATATTAGCATGTCGAAGACGTCTTGAAAATGCAAGTTCGCGAGAAACATCGAAACGAGCATTTCGGCGTGCGGAACCTTTGATTTTTGCGCCGCGTAAAATTGCAACCTTTAAAGACCTTTACGACATTCACGTTAGGAAGAATCGCTTGCGTCCGCAACGAACGACTAAGCCCCTTGTATTTTTCGCCAGATTTTTTTATTAAAGGGAACGTGCAACCTTCACGATGCTGGGGTCCAAGCCAAGGTATGCTCCGCATCGCACTGTGGCCATTTCAGCTCGTCTAAACCATGACGTACGCTGTCGTACAGCCGGGCGTAAAATTCCGAATCCGAAAAGCACTTGAAATGCTCGGATAGTAGGTGGTGTCTTGTTCGTCCCGCGACCCTTGATTATCTATCCTGGTGCGCCTCAATACCAGCATTGCTAGAACATGGGAACTTAAAATACTGATGTGTGCCGCCTGTTAAGGTTCCTGCCGGATGTTGCCCTGCTAATGCCGCCGTCCATCTCTGTTTCAGAAATCGCCCTTGTCGTCCGGGTGTGTCACGTGCTAGCTTCGCCGATCTGAAATTCTCCAAGATGGCTGAATATCAAGTGGTCACTGCCGACACAGTCAATGTTATGGTCACTAGCAATATTACCCAGTTCCCGATGCAGAAACGATTTCAGAAAAGTCTTACGATTCTGGCGCTGAAGGTGAGACAGCACGGGTTGAAAGGCATGCTTTATAGGTAGTAGATACTTTAAAAAATTCATGTAAGTCATGTGACTGTCGTCTGGCATGACCTATCTGACCATCGTCAGAGAGCGGTCCAAAAATATTTGTAACGTAAAACGCCTGCTTACTATATATGTCCTGGAGGCAACCTATAGACTAGGAACGGAAATTACTTTTCTCCTGGCGTGTTCTCGCCCAAATGGAAGCTAATCAGTATCGGTATCAGTATCTTGGAAACCATCCGCAAGGTGGCTTTTACGGTTTCAGGACATGGTCGTGCTTCAAACTTTACACTAAAGCGTGCAGCATAAGAAGGCACACATTAAAGGGGTGCAATGAAATGATACGAGCAATGACTACGAGCAAGTGTTAAACCTATCAATGCATTATGGGCTAGATCAGTGGTCAGTGGTCAGTGGTCAGATGTACGCTACGTATGGAGATCTCACGCGTACGTTTGAGACGTGCGCCTACAAACGTAGGCGTACGGTGACAGGCGGTCCCAGACAGCTGCGGTCTGATGCGAGAACCCCCCCCCCCCCCCTGCGGGGCAGCCAATCGGTGCCTGCGCAGGTGCAGACTACCTCTGTCCGAGGCGCGCGTTTGACGGGTCGAAACATCGACGCGTGGGACAGAAAGCGCGCGGACCCCGCGAGGTCCGCCTGCCTTCCTCAGTTACCCTGAAGGCTTTTTAATTTTGTGTGGTTGACCCCTGGTCGCCCAACTCCTCACGCACAGACAGTACGTGATGCGAGAGAACACGCACGCCTGGATTATAATTTTGAGGAAGTCTTAAGTGATGACGAAATTTGTGCAAGGAAACGAGGATGTCATTGCACTTTTTCACGGCACTGGAGACACTGTCACCCCATGACAGACCGGAGTCATCTATGACGCAGACAATTTTGATGTTACTTGAGGCACGCACAGTCGATAAATCGCAGCTTGTAGTTGGCTACGAGTCGCCATATTGTGTTACACTGTTCATGCGCGCGATGATTGTTATTCGTGCATCATGTAACGAGCAAAACATACGGTCATTCGTACCGAAACCAATTACGCCAACTGGCACGTCAGCACCTGTAAAATATGCAGCCGTGGGGAACCGAACCCCAGGCCTTCAGATGAAGAGAACGCCTTATCGTGACTTCAGTCACATGGCAGCCCCGGCAAGGCTGTCAGTGTCAGGCCGTGGAAGCGTGCGGCGCGGCGTTGATACAGGGCCTGTTTAATGTGTGACCGAACGTGACCGCTGTGCGGCATCCACGGCGGGAGGACGCTCCGTTGATCGTGGTCCGTTCCGGCTGGTGTCGGCTGTTCTCTCGTGAGCGCCGGGGCTGTCTGCCGCACCATAGTCTCCCCAGGTGTCAGCCGGACGGCGCGTGGCGGCACGGTCCCAGACGCAAATAACCGAGGCAGTCGACGGTCCCTTACTCAATAGCTAACTGACTGGGCACGGCTCCCGGTCCGTGCTCGCCGGCGCCCGTGCCCGGGCGCTGGTCATGCTCGCCGCGCCGAGACCGGCCGAGTCGCGGGCCTGGTCCGACCCCTGCTGACCGCCGCAGAACAAACTGGAGCTGGTGACGGGCGGCTCGGCGGCCACCATGCGGCTCTCGCTGTACGACAAACAGGACCAGTTCGTGTGCGCCATGGACAGCGAGACCGCGCTGCTCGGTTCCTTCCCGGTCGACGAGGGTATGCGTTTACACGTGAGTGCGGCGCAGGTAGTACTGTTTGGTGTCTGCGCCTTGTGAGGAGGTCTGTGAAGACGTGTTGGACTCGCACATATGGATATGTCGGCATTTGTACTCTGACTGGACGCTTTCCGTTGTCGGCTATGCTGACGGCTTGTAGCATAGTGACTTCGAGTAGGGGGAAGAGGGAAGGCATGAATGTGGATTCACTTGCTACGAAACATTATCAGTGGGCTATCGTTAGACGTTTTCAGTAGTGCAGTGGTGCCTTCTGCTCCATCGCCCCCCCCCCTGCCTTTCCGCTCCAAAAGGCATGATCGAATTTCAACCCTCTGTCTGCCGCACACGGTCCGCGTATTATCTCCGGTAATTGCTCCCTGCTGGCGTGTTTTCGCTTCCCGCCCGGTATGTCGCCGACTGGTCTGTTATTGGAAAACTTATCCCCTCCTACGCACGATGTAATGTTACACCGCGGCACGACGGGACCTCCCCTGCGCACCCACGCGACAGTGCCGGCGCTGGCGTTAACGTGGTCCAGCCGGCTTACCCTCGGTCAGGCCTGGACTGTCCGCCGGCTGCGGTGGGCCACGTCTGTCTTTGCTGGAGGAATATCTACCCTCGGGCTCATTGCTGACGGTGTGCTACCGACACCTATTGTGACCGGGGGTGCAAAGGCACCACAGCTTGAAGTGTTTGAATGCAGTGAAAGCTCGCCTCACTCCTGAATTCTATTAATAAAGCTGTGGCTGCATGAAGTAGTCCTTACAGCTTTTCGTAAAATATGAGCGTTCTTAGAAAGCCGGCTGACATATACACACGACATGAGTTTAATACCATGAATCGGTATTTTACTATGCCGCCTGGTCGTATTACTGCCCACTGAGGCAAGAAGTATGAGTCTCCATCCGTAATGACTCGAAGCCTTGAAAGTCGTACTTCAGGCAGCCTGGTAGTGGATTAAGAAACTTGTGGTCAACTACGATCAAAACTGGAATTGAATCCGAAACCAACGTAATTGCCATGCTGTCATTGCGTGCCTTTTTCCTCCAACTATACATGATCACCAGTTAAATAATCAAAGTGCATATTAAAGCCATCTCAGTGCGTGGTGAGCCGGCGTCAGAATCGATCCCGCCCCAGACGGACTACAGCACGAGCCTAGTCTCAGCATTCTATCGTTTACCTCTGGCGCTGAGTTGTCGCCTGTGCGAAGGTCGCCTGCGATCGGCTGGTGCCTCACGTGCTGGCGCGCACCGCAGGTGGAGGACAAGACGTGCAAGAAGGGTGAGTTCGAGGACACGAGCAATATCCAGAAGTACGAGCTGAGCGATGAGCAGTACAACTCCAAACAGGGTGAGTGGAGTTTTGCCGTGTCAGGGGGTAAACCATTTTGCCGTGCCGGGGGTTGCAGTTGTCGGTGAGTGGCTTGCAGTGGACTGACACCGCCTGGACGCTGAGTTGAGCGGCTTAACGTTGGTATCCGTTGAAGAAGTCCCATGCTTCTGTCCCATGCTGAAGCCGTACATAATATTCCGTGCACAAGTCTGTCCCATGATGCTGTTTATTCGAATTAAATGTGTTTTGTTTGACTTACTGTATCGGAATATGTGAAGGCCTTTGCGTTGTAATTTTTACTGGGGCTTTACGACATACCCAACTGCTGAGGCTATATGGCGTCGCCTGTCTCTATCACTACTCACCCTCCATTGACGGATCGTGTCGCGTTATTGAATAATTTTCAGCATTCGGTTGTGAAAAGTCTCCCTGTGGTCACTCTTGTAGGCTGAAAAAGACAACGTTTCTACAGTGTCATTTGAAGTGTGTGTGTGTGTGTGTGTGTGTGTGTGTGTGTGTGTGTGTGTGTGTGTGTGTGTGTGTGTGTGTGTGTGTGTGTGTGTGTGTGTGTGCGTGTGCGTGTGCGTGTGTGCGTGCGTGCGTGCGCGCGCGCGTGCGGGCGTGTGTGCGTGTGTGCGTGTGTGCGTGTGTGCGTGCGTGTGTGTGTGTGTGTGTGTGTGTGTGTGTGTGTGTGTGTGTGTGTGTGTGTGTGTGTGTGTGTGTGCGTGTGCGTGTGTGTGTGAAAATAGTGTGGCGTGTTTGTGCGTGAGCGTGTGCGTGCGTGTGCGCGTGCGCGTGTGCGTGTGCGTGTGCGTGTGCGTGTGCGTGTGTGTGTGTGTGTTTGTGTGAGAAAATAGTGCACAAAAACAGCGGTGTCACGTCTATTTTTGTTCCATTTTTTACTCAGTTTTGAAAGTTGGAGCGTTCTCTCAAACTCCGAAACGTTGGCATTGCCACTCAAACGTCATGTTTCTCTGACTGTCTCCCTCTGTCCTCTGCCACCGCTCAGATGGCGGTGCCTAGCACAGGCCTGACCTTCAGGCGTCGGGGCTCGGATCAGGGGCTCGCTGCCAGCTGCAGTCGGCCCGCCTCGCCACAGGTGGCTTGAGAAATGACGGTGGCAACGGCCACAACAGTTACGCGTTCTGTGCAAGGCATAAGGCTAAACCAAACGCGTCACCGTCCCCAGATACGCTGCGGGCTTACCTGGAGCGCACTAAGCAGGGCAAGTACGACCAGGCCGAGATGGCGCGGCTGGCGGCCGAGAAGGAGCGCAAACAGCGCGAGGAGGAGGCGCGCGCCGCCACCATCACGGTCGGCGCCCGCTGCGAAGTGGCGCGACCTGGTCAGCTGGCCACGCGCGGCACGGTCCGCTTTTGCGGTGAGGCCCGTTCCATCCCCTGGTCGCCCCCGCGTCCCCACGAAACGCTGCGGTGCGGCGATGCCGGCGCGGCTGACTTTTTCATGCTCTCGACCTATCCACCTTGACGGTTCTCGTTTGATCCGGGACTCGGACGTGGACGTACTCGCTGAAACGCGGGGCTGCATTTGCAGAATAGGGTCCGTGCGGGGTCGGGGTTGTTTTGGGAGCTTGGACTGTAAAGGAAATATGCGTTGCCGAAACAGGTGTAAACATCCGTCTAAAGTTCGTGAAACGTGCTCATTGGTATCTATTTTGTTTTGAGCCCGTGACTTCGTTTTCGACCTAAGCAATTCTCGTGAGCTGGGACGTCATTGTTATCGGCCCTAAGCAATTTTCGTGAGCTGGGACGTCATTGTTATCGGCCCTAAGCAATTCTCGTGAGCTGGGACGTCATCGTTATCGGCCCTAAGCAATTTTCGTGAGCTTGTGGCGTCGTCATCGGCCTAAGCAATTCTCGTAAAGCAGCCATATTCTTTCTCCTGGTCCCTCGGATCTCTTTGTCTCCCCCACTGTGCTTGGCTCTCATCTGCAGCGAGGGAGCGTAACAGACTGTCGCCGCTCTGGCGACGCCGGTCTTCCAGATGTGCACCAGCGGGTGCGCGTGCAGAGTCTACGCGCTCGACTTGAACTGGTCGTTGAAGCCGTTCTGGCCTCCGCGTTTGTCTGATCCGCGGCGCAGGATATTTGACCAAATCTGATGCTTCTGATCATTGTACGAACAATGCGAAAACATAAATTTTAGGTGCACAAGTCCTTCCATAAATACCAATCGCTTTTCGAGCAGTCTCCCAACGTGTGTTGAAGGCCGTCTGAAATTTGAACTGACCCTATTGGTTTTTAATACATTGGGAGCTCAACGCTATTTGCACCTTCCATCATGCTGATACCTTATCTACCACAGGTTTCAAAGTGCACTACTTTAGGTTTACTTCAGGTACAGTCGAAGCAAATGCAAATGCCTCGTGTGCCACATTCGTTGGAGCGCTGTCAGGCCCGTTCATCACTAATGCACAGCAAGTCCATGCGGGTCACGTGATCGTGCAGTTTGTTCGTCGGGGTACCCTGGTAATTGGCGTCCATGTTTACATCGTTTGTGGTGCTTTACTACCTCAGCTGGATACCACTCATCAGGTGATTACTTATCGTTGGCAAAATAAGCCCCAATCATAATCTGTATCGCTTCACGTATGGTCCACTTACCGTATTCGTGACTCTGTAATCAATGTGATCTGGTTGCAATTTATCATCTCTGTCATTTGTCATGTATTTAAAGATGGAGGAGATGTTGAATCACAATGGTGCCGAAATGTGGCAAGATATGCCTGACTTTTGATAGGCCATTAGGGCACTCTTTATTGGGTAAGAACAATATATTTCCATTGTGTTTTTGATATCCGCTTATGCTGTATCCATGGCCTTACGAGCAGTACGTGTGCGTGTGCGTGTGCGTGTGCGTGTGCGTGTGCGTGTGCGTGTGTGTGTGTGTGTTCATACAATATAAGATAAGATAAAAGGAAACTAAAACTGGAGCCAGAAAACACGGCACAGGGAAGCTCCCGTCGAACCGCATCAGTTAAATTTCGCTGAACGGTGGTAAATGACGGTTTGACGGAACTTTGACGGTTCAAATCAGGTTATAAGGGTTAGCACTTACTAATATAACACCTTCTGTGTTCTCAAGAAGTGAACATGCCATGACAACGCGGAAAATGACGTTGAACAGCTCTTGGGAAAATATGAGATAGTCACGTGCGGGCTTCGCCGGGCGGAACCTATCATGCGTCACCTCGAGTCGAAGAGGTGAAGGTCTTTGTTGCATGGACCAGTCCGACTCCATCAAGAGCAAGCCACATCAATGGAGGAAACGGCTTTAGACAAGCCTTCCAAAACTGCGGGGTGTGTGCCATTAAGGTTTAAATGGCACGATCTACGAACAGTAGATCACGGTAAGATATGATCGCGAAGATCAAAGTTTGGCCTAACTTGATCTTGTTTGACCAAACTCCGTAGTAGCAGTCAGAGCAATAGAAATGCACTTCATAGTAATGATGTTCATAGAAGGGGTGGGAAGCCCTCTCAAACCTCTCTTGGGCTCATTTCGTATGAGGAATAAGCGTTAGGTGTCGCTTTTGAACAAAACTACCAACGTGAGAGTGGTAATGTATCTGATTTCTGAACCGTCATCGTCTGAAGCCTCAAATTCCTACTACACGCAAAAGTAGCTGCCTTCAGCTAGCTAAAATTTCAGCACCGTGCTTAATACTATATAGAAGTTTTTGGAGAATAATATTGGTACTCGTAGGGCGAGCGTTAAACGATGCCCAGCGGGGTTATTTTGACATGCTCTCCCGGCGGGGGGAGGGGGGGGGGCGACAGGATCGTACTTGCGATTGGACTAAAATGGAGACTCGGAGTAAAGACCACTGTGTTGCTCGTGGACTGAGTAATCCAATGACAGACGGTTTTTTGTTCCAGGTTAATAAGCGATCTTCCAGTCACAGCAATGGTCTTACGGACGCTATCGAAAATTAAACGATCAGTAATGATCTTACCAGTATAATTTCCAAACTGCAGAACAAAAATGCTTACGTAAGCACCAGTCTCTTCCTTGTATTCTTTCGGTTCTGAAAATGGCCTCGTTTTTTATCTGCGTCAGCTAAATGACCTTTCAGGTTATAGAAACATCACAATCAAAATGTTTGCTTGATTCCATGGTCTCCAGTTCCATTATCGGTAGCTGCAATACTGAACAAGGTGTCATGATGGAGAAGCACCAGTGTCGTGACATTTGCCTAAGTTATCGGTTAATTCTGACCTCTGAGGTCAAGCTAGGTCGTTAGGGTTCCGCATGCTTTGCATGGACATACGCGGCAGATAGTTGTGCTAAGATTATCCGACAAACGCAATTTGAACCTGATGACTCCTTCAGTTACGAATAATTTGCATTTTATGGATTCGACCTTTGACAGGCTTAAGTGACACTTGCATAATTAGATCAAAAAAGTACTCTATCGGTCATGTGGTAAGTACCCAGCCACGACAACGATGCAGTACATTCTTCGCAATGCGACGAACAGTTCCAAATGACTAATATTTGAAAGCATGTGGAAGACATGTGCATTTTGAACGAGGTCACAAAGTCTTACAATGTGTGGCAACAAAAAGCGTAGTGCAGGTGCTATGCGATACAGAATGAGGCGGAACAAGTTCACTCAAGCTGCAAAAGATACATATTGCAACTGCCATCACGGGCGATGGCAGCGCAGCCCAGATGCTGCATGCGGCCACTAACAATGACAGCCTATGACCTTGCTCGACCTTTGGAAGACCACTGGCGCTTGCATGCAAATGCTCATAAACAAAGCGAGTGGAAAAATGAGCATTCGGCAATGCAGCGCGTTTGTGCAACGACAGCGCATTATCTGTCTATTGGCACTTACTTGGCTTACATTTAGCTTATCCGGCGTGCCCGTACCCAATATAATTACCACTGTTCGTACAGTGTCTGCCCAAATGATGTCGATGTGGAAATCTTGATTAAACAGCATTGCATTGAAGGTGTTATGAAACCCATATAACAGAACAATCGGGCATGTTTAGCTCAGCTTGACCTCGCATGACCTGACCTCTGACCCCTCAGCCTCAGACCCAATCAGGCCTGATATTGCTGAAGTCGAAATCGATTACACTTACAAAACAAACGCGTAACAAAGCTCTATTGCCAACAAGTGAATTGTGTTGTCTATTCAGGACGAAACCTGATCAAAACGACTCTCACAAAAGGTTATTTATTAGGTTTATGGAACTATTGGGACAAAAGCGCTGAGAAAATTAACAGGATAAGTAAAAAGCTGGCTATCAAAATAAAATAAACCTATCTTTGGTGGTAATCAGAAAAAATCTCAGAGGTGGGAGGATCTCATGCCGCTGCCCTCGTTATGGGGGGGGGGGGGGGGAGACGGTTCGGCTGTCATGTCTGTAGCTACTTTTGCGCTTCATTATCAGTTGGTTTAAGGTGTGCATGTCGCAGTCAGTCTGTGTGCATGTCAGTTGCTAGAATGTCGTTTTGTAACCCCCTTGACAACTCATTTCATAAACGATCGTCATGTTTCCTTTTCTCTCGCAGGTTGCCATGCGTAGTGAGGAACATAACGTGCCTGAACTGTCGATTGCTAAGTTTGCTAAGGATTCCTAGACTCCGGGTAATCTAGCATAGGTCCAACGGTGTTTCGGTATTTCTTGTGAGGTACCAGCTTCCAGAGACGCTGATGTGATTGACATAAGCAAGAACCGCCTCGCCTGCACGCTGTTCCATCGATCATTGCACGGGCAAAAATGAGCTGACCGCTGTGTGACCTTGGAGGGCGTGAACTTCTGACCGGTGCGCGCTCTTCCGGCAGGTCCCACGGACTTCAGCACCGGCATATGGGTAGGAATTCAGTGCGACGAGCCGGTGGGGAAGAACGACGGCAGGTGAGAGCCCGCCCGCTGCACGGTCGCTCGGGGGTGCACGGAAGGGGGGGGGGGGGGGAGGAGGGGAGCTGATTCCTATCGGAAGCGAGCGGTATCGGGCCCAAATGGCGTGTTATCAGCGGCGGTATTGCGGCACGTCCCTGGAATGTGTGCAGCGTTGTTGATGGCGATGATGGGGTTTCCGGGGAAGCGACTGCGTGGTTGCGCAGTTTCCAGTGCGCGATACCGCGGCGCTTGTCCAATAGGTGGTAAGCGTGCGTGAGGGGCCGGAACGGACACGTTTCAGTTTTATGGCGTCGTTTCAGTGCTGCGTGATATGCATGTGTGATGTATAGATTATGGTTAGTGGTCGCAGGAAACTCTTGCCGGAGTGTTCAGTGTGACCGTGGTAATGGGCAGGATGGTCATATGTGTGGATACCATGTGAACTCCACACGTGGATACCATGTATGCATAGTGTATGGATGCCATGTGGATACCATGTATGCATAGTGTGTGGATGCCATGTGGATACCATGTGAACTCTCCCCAAGACAGAGGGTACAGCGCTTCAAATTTTCCCGAACTGTCTCCCGAACCGCCTAATGCACCACACTTACATGTTGTTTGACTGAGTTTTGAACCGCCTTCTCTTTATCTGACTTGCGGATTCTAGGTTCCTTACATATCCGATGCCGGACCCGTGGCCGCGTTCTCAGGGGTGTACGTGTAGAAATACGGAAAATTAACGTCCCGTGAGTCAATAATGTTTTTCAGTTGTATATCATGTCTTAAAAACCAACCAAAGAAACGTTCGTAAACCCTTGATAATCCAGCAGAAGTATATCGTTACGCGTGAACGTTTTATGTGTAAGCCCAGCCGACGTCAGTATGATGGGACGTCCGCAACGGACCTTGCCCGGCCGTCTGAAAATCAATAGCACTACTCTGAGTAACACAAAGTAGCTCTGTGGATACATAAAGAGCTAAAATGGAAGACATTAATTTAATTGAATCAAATGTGCCCTTGCCCGACAGGTCAACCAAAAGCGATATGTTAAAATTAAAATGACCGAAACGCAAGTTTTAGGTTACCGACGTAAATGCTTTCGCTCCTTGTTTCGGTGTTCTTGGTCCAGCACGTCGAGTGTCTTGTTTCGGTATTTTTGGTCCAGCACGTCGAGTGTTGGGACGATGTGTTGACTGATAGCTTACCACTCTCGCGGGGGCTTACAGCGGAATCGATGAAACCGAGCAGTGATGACTGCTGCTGGGGGTGAATGCAACAGTTTGTTGGGATATTTACTGACGCACAGCGGCAAGGGTCGTCGTCTGTCGTCCGTGCCCCCCCCCCCCCCCCGCCGCCGTCACCCGCCGCGTCGTCTCACAGCACGCCCGTGCATCACAGCGTGAACGGACGGCGCTACTTCGAGTGTGCGGACAAGTACGGCCTGATGACGCGGCCGGCGTCTGTCACTGTCGGGGACTTCCCCGAGCGGGCCATCGACGCCGACGACGACGACGACGAGATGTGAGGCGCCGACGGCCGCCCGCCGAGACACCGCCGCCGCCTGCCGAGACGCCGCCGCCGCCCGCGGTCCCGCGGCGGCAATTTTCACCTGTGAGAGGAGGCGAAGCGTCCGCGCTCCCGTGCGGCCGGCGCGCCCGTCGCGAGTAGTGCCCGTGAGAGGGAGACGCTCGTGCGGCGTGCGCTCCGCCCGCGTGCGGGCGTGAGCGCGCGCGGCTGCTGTCGGGAGGGAGCCGGCAGCGCGGCCCTGCCGTCGCGGGCGCCGGCCTGGCGGCAGAGGCGCAATCTTTGAGGGGGCGCGGGCACGCGGGCGCTCGCCGCTCGCACGCCGCGGCCCGACCGGGGAGACGGCCGCGTCGCGTGCTGTTTGCCGTCCAGACTGTGTGGCGCGGGGAGAGTGGTGCGGTTTGAGGCTGAGAACCAGGTCGACAGGTGACCTAGGCACCTCGGTCGGCGGAGATGCTGTCGAGTGGGGCGTCTGGAGTCGGATCCAAGACGACACGTGATGAGTGTGCATTCCACTGCCCACTAATTGTCACGGTTTTGTCGTTCTCTATCCGTTTCATGGTAGAGCTGCTGCAGCCTCGCTGTCACTTACGGTAACGCAGCGGAGGTGGTCACAGTTTGTGTCCTCGAGTCATTTCACAGAAGCACTGCTGTTGCTTCACTACCAGCACGGTAACGTGGCAAACCATTTCACAGCAGCACTGCTGGTGTTTCACTACGAGCACGGTAACACGGTAACATGATGGAGGTAGCTAAGCTTTCACGAGTAAATTAACCGTAGTCACAGCCATGGCGTCTTCTTTAGAAGCAGGACTTGGGCCCTAAAGACAATCGCCAAGTCGCCGAAATCAGCCTCCACCTCTCGGTCTTCTGGTTAGCAGGGCCGCACTGTGCTTCGCAGGCCTTTGGCGTTTCTTGCGCTTTGCGTTTTTATGTTGCTATGTGACACGGGTCGATTAAGCCGCAGTTGCCTTTGGATTCTCGCTTGAGGCCTTTTCTGGATAAAATACATGATAACACATTATGTGCTGATTTGCTCTTGGAACATTTATGGAGCCGACGGCGGATCCTGACCACGGTTCGCGTTCTGTGGAAAAATGTCTCGTTTGAATTGATTTTCACGGGCACAAAAAAGCAAATTGGATCCTCAGAAGGAACTCTTCGAACTGAGCGCAGACGAGTTATTCTTGTCCAGGTGGAGAGTACGCGGCTGGGAAACCAGATCTTGCGGCATTGATAGAATGGTGAATAGCTGAGTCGGAGTCATCTGCGAGGAGGTAAAGCGTGTTGTCGAGAATTAGACAATCGCATGCACGTCGGGAAATGTGTCGGTTTGATTCAGAAACTAGCGGATGATGATACAGTCGCCTGTGCGACAGATGTACGAGATGTGAGGTTGGCCGTCCACCGATCCTTCCGCACACGCGCGCTGTGGAACTGCTCGCCTCGCGCCGCTCGCCGCCTCGAAGACGCCTGACGACGCTGCAGCCGGCTCGCCAGTCACGGAGACATGACGCGATCTCGCGGGCAACCCGACCGTCTTCAGGAAGCGGGATCTGCGGGGGCACGGGCCGGAGTCCGAGCGGGGGTGGATACACGTCTGCGGTTTGCCGTCTGCTGCAGCGCCGGCAGAAGACAAACCGCTGCGGTTTGTCGTCTGCCAGCGCTGTGGCCTCGGTGCACGGGGCGGCGCGGAGAGGTTGGCGGGACACTTCAGCCGGTGCGCTCGTTAAACCCCAATTGTACAAACGCGCGGTTTGGCGCCGGGGCAGGGAGAGCTCGGATAGGGCCAGCGGCAGGTGTAGGCACCAGTTCTTGCCGCCGTCACCGGTAGGCTGGAAACCCTCGGCCGGAGCAGAATGCCGCTCGAAGGCGCGACAGCGTGCGCCACTTTGTCCGGCCCGGTTCATTTGTGCACGCAACATGCATCATCAATGCGGACTACCTGAATCACAATCTCACGGTCGGCCGGCCCGGCCCTCGCCGCGTGCGTCATCGAAGCCAGGCTGATTGAGCTGCCATCGGTCGCCGCGCGGTCGCTGCGCCCGACTGCCACCAGGGCGGCGCCACCGTCTCCGCCTCGGTCCGATCGGTCCGACCAGGTAGTCTCGGGACATTATCGGGCCCCGAATAATTCAGCGGTACGTGGTCAGGCCGGTCACCGACCATCGACGGAAAATAGGGCGATCAATCGGCGCACCGGCCCTGCATTATTGACAGCCGACCGCGGCGCTAAAATACGCCCGTAAGTGGACGCCGCCGAGTCCTCGGACGGCCGTCGTTACGGTGCGTGGGATCGGCGATTTGGTGCGTGACGTATTATTGACGTCAAAGGATTCTCTAGCGTGACATCCGCGTTTGATGTGTGTATTATGCGTAGGCGTCTTTTGATGTTGCGTTTGAAAATTACGAGCGGTTTCGATTTTGTTTGATTCAGAGCATACGTTGGCCTGACCCGGTCGTCTTGTTTGCCTTATCATCCCTGCTTTATTCTGATTGTGGCGTCGATATTAGATGTCGGATCGCTTTATGGATTGCATGTATTCTGCGCACAGCATTTGCCTCGTCTGGTGATGCATGGATGCTCCATATTGGATCAAGGCGAGCGGACAGGACATGACGCATAAACAAGACAGTACCAAGAGCCTTTTTCATCGTAGAATAACCAGGAGAATGGAAGGACAGATCCACTGCTTATTCTTCGAGGAATAAGGTTATTAGTGCTGTCCTATTGATATGCATAATGTTCCTTGTGAAGGCACCTAACGACCAACGTAATTTTGAACAAAATGTTCATCAATTTGGCACAAATGAACTTTACATAAGTGTCAAAAACACGTCCGAGCGTCAGTTGGTACCGAGTGCATTATAGACATCCACCCTACATCTACAAACGGCCTTAGCAAAACGATTGTACACTCACCATCGAACCGAAGAGCCACTCTGGTGGCTTCAAAAAGCTTGTGATTATCCGTGTTGCCGTAGGCGACGGATTTGCTGATGTAAAGCGCATCTTGCTCATTTGAGAGTAGCAATAGATGCTTTTGCCTCGACTGCCACGTCACGAACACCGGTAAGAGTGCTGCCTTCATCAAATATATTGGGCTAAGACTAATACGAACACGGTGATTGCCAGTCAGCATCAATGATGGCTACATTATGCCATTAGCAGTAATTCGGCGGCCGTGTACACAATCACGCAAGTTCGGCATATGGCAAGACACTAAAGCATCATCAAAAATATCGTATCACCCATCACACCCACTTCTCCCGAAGTGAACGCGGGTGAGTGGTGTTTGATTCGTTAGTGCTCATGTAGCATTCCGCAGTGGGGTGGTGGGCGCCCGCCACCCCCGGTCCCTGCCACAGCCCCGTCCACGACAGAGCATGCACAAAGAACAAACGCGTCTATCGGCATCATCTTGCATCTCCGTTGACGTATGTGGACGATCTGATAACAATTCTACGAGGCATGCTTCGGTTCCGAAACACGCGTGAACCCTCAAAACAAATGCCGCGACCCGGTGTACAGATCCAGTCACAGAAGGACGATATAGCATCAAATATCCGTTTCAAGATCCAAGCATGTGTTTGGTTTGGATTTAGCGGAAGTCACAAAGCCAAATAGGCGTTCACCTAATCCTCCTGTCGACTGGAAAGTCGCATCTAAGTATCATCCCCTATCTCAAACGCCCACCATCGCTCCCGCGGTGGCGGAGAAGGCATTACATAGCCGATCACTGACACCAGTCTTCAGTGTCAGAACAGAATTTTCACGGATACACGTACGTTCTCCCAAACGCTCGAAGCTGAAAGACATGACCTCTCGTGTGGCTGGTCTCGGTGACTGCGTTCGGTCCCATCGAAGCGCGCCGCCGTCACCCATCACGACCTGGTGGCTGGAGCACAGGTGTGTCGAGAGTAAGCGCACGCGGGCGAACGGACATATGCTGCCCTTGAGGTGACCTTGACCGACCTCCGCTGCATCCTCGACCCACCGCCTTCGCAGCATCTCGACCTACCGACGCGTCAGCAGGGTATGGCCGATGTCCCGAGCGTCACAGACCACTGGACGGCTTCACATCCATGTGAGGCAGGCACTAGGTACGTGCTGAGCCATGGTTTTCTAGTTAACTGGTTGTCGGCACTCGCGGGCAGTAGATCAGAACTGAGTTTGGATCTAATGCAATTGACCCTATCAAACAACTGTGTAAAGTTTTTTCAGGGGGATCCGAAGAAATCGAGTAATTACAGCCGTGTGAGTTTTGGACGGCTTGCCGCGCAGCACCGCCCTCTTATCCGGTGTTTCGGACATTGAGAAAGGGATGAGCCGAGACTGCGGGAGTACCCACTGGCACCGAGGGAGACAAAATAGGCGCGGCGCGACTGGTCTGCGTGAATAAGGTGACAGAAGCGATCAAGCACCCCGCTGCGGCCTCGGTCGAGCGGCCAAAGCGCGTCACACTCGTCCACGACCCGCGCCGGTGTTCGCCGTGGTGGTGGCCGTCATATCGCGCGCTGCTCTCCCCGCTCCTGCCAGCGCCACAAAACTGCATCGCCCGCCGTCACAGCTGAACAAGCAGGCGTCACGGCTCACGCGTCATGCCACGCGCCGGCTCAGCGCCGTATCGCGCTGGAAGAGCAAGCCAAAACGATCTCTCAGTCCTCGCTCTCAAGCTTTTTGCTCGCGATGGCCACCGAGCCGAGCGAGCTGATATTGAAGCTGGACATGTCCAGGTCGCTGTCAGCCTGTCGACCGGCAGCCAGTGCCGAGCCTCCGCGAGACTGCTGCACGTTCTCATACAGCTGCTTCTGCATCACGGCCAGCGACACCTGTCGACAGGTGGAGCAGGGTCAGCGCCGCGCGTTAACGGGGTCGGCCGAGAACATTTCTGATGTTAACTGAGGACACTGACAACGGTCAGCTGAGCTTACTAAAGGCTCACTGACAAGAATCAGCCCAGAACGTGGTGGTGACAGATATGATGGCATAGACATTTTGCGAATGTCCAGCACGCAATCAAAAGACGACAGCATGCTTTTTGATCATGTCATGCATGTCTGGTCATTGGCATCGCGGCAGACAGACGGTGCCATCTTAGCGCAAAGCTTGATGCCAAAAGAGCGCACAGACCTGTGTTCACAAGGACGCTCACAGACGGTGGCGCCTGGGA